GGGGGATAACTGAGGGTCAGGACTGGAGTTGCCTGGGGGGGCTGTGGGAGGGGGACTGGGAGAACTGGGCGCCCTGGGGGTGGTAGAATTGGTGGTATTGGAGAATCAGGACTGAGGAATTGGGGGGAGTTGGGGGGGTTAGGACCGGGGGTGTTGGGGGGGGCAGGACTGGGGATATTGGAAGGCAGGACTAGGAGCAGACTGGGAGGACTGGTACGAAGGTCTGGGGAGCACAAGTGGGGGCATCTAGTCCAGGGGGTACAGCATCAGGGGGCTGGGCTGGGGTGCAGCTGTGGACAGCGTGGCTGGCAGGGGCCGTGGGGACCAGGACATCGAAGGAAGAGGCTTTTTCCTCAAATCTCCCAGTGAATTTCCTTGCAAACCAGCACTGGAGCACGAGCATTAAAGAAAGTCCCACCCTTGGCCTAGGCCTGGGTCCGCCCGAAGACCTGCAGCATTGTGATGGACTTTGTCCCTCAGAGGTGACACCTGTGCTGACAGCCCCAGGCGGGGGCTCCCCCAGGAGTTGGAGCCCTCCCTGGGGGTGGCTGAGGTCCTGTTGGCCACGTCGCGTGCATGTCAGCGGTGCGATGCTGTGGGCTCTGCCCAGAAGCCGCTCAAGAAGCTGCAAAGTGCCTTTGTCACCCTGTGGCTGCAGCTCAGCCGAGGGCAGCCCAGCAGGGTCAGTGCAGAGGGTGCCCTGCCCGAGCCGGTTGGGTGTCACAAGCTCCTAGAGGAGCAAAAGTCTGAACTAGACCAGAGCTTCCCCAGGGGTTTGGTGGAATCAGTGCTGTGGAAGGGGCTCCCCTCCACACCCCGCCCCGTGCCAGCTGGTTCGGCCCTTCCGCCCGCCTCAACCCTCTTTTTCTTTGCAGTGTTAAAGAAACGCCTCGTGAAGCTTGTCGTCAACTTTCTCTTCTACTTCCGGACAGACGAAGCGGAGGTATGGAATCCGCTTTATTGTTGTTGTTTTCCTCCCTCTCTCTTTTTTTCTGTGAACTGATTGCGTGGGCTTCGCGAAGTGATACAGTAACAGGCTGCCAGAGCCAGGACACAGCCCCCACGTTTCTTTTTCCATCAACTCAGCAAAGACTCGCGGGGGGTGAGAAGCAGCACTGCCATCTAACCGCACCCGGGTGCTTCTCTGAGCTTGGAACGAATCTTCTAAACATAACCATTGCCCCAAAACCACAAAGGTGGAGTCTGTAACGTTTGTTTGCAGGACTGTGCTTTATCGTGCCAAACTGAGGGGAAGCTGGTTATTTTGCTCTCCCAGGAAAAGAATTAACATTGTTTGTTCTGCTTTATGCCAGGAATTTTACTTGTATACAGTGCTCGCTGTTGCTGGGAAACTTCTGTGGCCGTACCCTGTCAGTATTGTTATTTTGTGCATGCAGAAGCCCTGCTTAGGTCTAAGAAAAAAGAAGTGAGGGATGAGACCTTCAGGTTCTGTTTCTGGCTTTGCTGCTGCTGAGATCTGGTGATTTTTAATGAATCCCTTGATGACTGTTGCTAAAGATTCTCCTGGTGGAAAATTAATACAAAAGCCGTGTTAATGTGTGTGAAGAAAGGTGCTGTGTGCGCGCTGGTGCTACAAACAAAGGAACTGGAAAGCTTTTAGTGGCATTTTTAGACTTAATCCATCGTAAATATTTTACCCTGATAATGGCTGAGCTCCTGTTTTCAGAAATACCCTTTTCTCCTTTCAGCTGAAGTGCAGTTGCCAGTCGCTGCTTCGCTGGAGCTGCAACTGCTCCGGGGTGAGGTGGGGGGGGCGAGGCATTGAGCAGTCGCTCTGGTGTAAAACCATTGTGCCAGAAATACGGAGTAAACCAGGTTTTTCAGCGTCTTTCCTGCTGACCTGTTTGCCTCTCACGTTTTATTTAGCTTGGACAAAAGAATTCACTTGTGAGTTGCTTTTGTTTATGGCTCACCCTTCGGTTCTCACGTCCTTGCTGGATGTGTGCTGGTGAGCAAATAGCACCTGCGGTTTGTCTCTTTATCCTGAGCTGTCCTAGCTCCTCGACACGCTGTTCTTAACCTCTTGCAAGGCTCAAGGACTGCCCTTACGAAGTACAACAGGAGTTGTTTGTGCGTCACGTTCAATACTTCATCTTCGTTTGATTTCCTGAGCAAGGAAATTAAACTCCTTCACTGCCTTCACATCACAGAAACGAATGCTAAAGCCCGGGCTGAATCTGAGCGAGTAGAAATGTTTAACACCTGATTAACATATGCAAAGCGTTACAGGTGAGACTAGCACAGTGAAGCATGTCAGCAGACACAAAAAGGTTGATTAAAAGAACATGGAACGTTCATACGATTAGACTGAATTACTTGAAAAGCAGCACCGTGTTATGAAACTTGCTGCTTAAAAGGCACCGGGCAGACTCCGGGGTTCTCACTGTGGCACTGGTGGGTGACGTGGGCTAAACCCTCTCTCTGGGTCTTTTCCAGCCCATTGGAGCTCTGCTGCTGGAGCACTGCAGGATCACCAAAGAGGAGGAGAACGTCTTCTCAATCAGTGAGTTCTGCAGATGCGTTCCCTTTTGCGTTTCTCTTGTGGAAAATAGTGCTACATAAAAGGAAATGTTTTGCTGCTTAGTTCCTGCTTTTTCCTTTGGTAACAGTGAGGTTAGAGCTCCTCGGCCCTTCTCCTCGGTGGGGTTAGAGCTCCTCAGCAGGGTTAGAATTCCTCAGCCCTAATCCTTCACAGTGGGGTTAGAGCTCCTTGGCCCTTCTCCTCGCAGAGGTTAGAGCTTCGCAGCCCTTCTCCTCCCCAGCTGCCCGTTGTTGCTCTGGTGTTGCCATGCCCCATCCTGAGGACAGTGACATTTTATCCCCGGCTGAAACAATCTGTCTGATTTGCACAGCTGCATGTGAGGAGAGGAACAGTAACAACAGACGGACCATGGCTTAGTACTTGTGGAAATCCCTCTCTGGGAGGGTTTGGTATTGACAGATTGCTGCTTCTGTACTATTGCATTTTATATTTAAAAAAAAAAAAAAAAAGTGAGCCTCAGATAAACCATCTGTCGGGCTAATCTAGCACCAGTCCTCCCGCCACGCTGTTTGTCCTTGTGTTGATAGCTGTGGCTCCAGCTGGCTCATGGTGTGTCGCCCTTTGTAAGCAGCCTTTCATCCAACAACTAATCATTGTGCGAGAGGTATGTGGCAAAAATAACAGGATGTTTCTCCAAGGCCATTCCCATATCTTTTGGCCTGGTTGTCAGGCACAGCTGCTCCTCTGTGCAGAGCCTTGTCTCCTCTTCTAGCTGGGAGTTCTCGCCGTCTCCAAAGGACCCTCAGACAGCCTGAACATACCTGTTTCTCTAAATTTCTGTGGCTTCAGGACTGTCGGGGGTCTGGTGAATGAGGATTCCTGAGAAAAGTGTTAAAACTGATGGTGGGAGGTGTCAGGCTGTGTCCCTGCACGGCAGCCCTGAGGGGTTTGGATGCAGTCTGACCCGGTTATTTCTCAGCAGCAGCCCAGATCTCTGTGAACTGTGTACTAAAGAGCAGAGCTCTGGGGACAATGTAATTAATTAGGTGTCCTGATTCTGTCTTGGTAAAGAACTGGAGTGGCACGGGGACTTGCTTTCCGCTGTGCACAGTACCAAATTCCCAAAAGCCTCCAGCAAAGACAGGTCGGTGCCTTCTCTGAGTGCTGTTTAACTCCTCAGGTGGCTGCCCTCTGCACGTGTCAAAATCACTTTCTCAAGACCATTTTCCACTTGGATTTATCTCTGAATCTTTGGTGACTGTTTGCACAGAAGCTCAGGGAGTTTCAGCCCCGGATCTGGCCATGGTGGTCCAGTTCAGTTCCGAGCTGTCGCTCTCAGTTGGAGAAGCTGCTCTTCCCTCCCTGAAGTCTTTGGCTACTCTAAGCTGACAGAGGCTGTAGGCAGCTGCTCCGGGCCAGCCAGGAGCCACACGGGGTGAGGGATAGGGGCGAAGGCCGGGGCTATCAGCTTGTTCACAGACATCTTAGTTGAAGAGAGATGCTATTTGTGGCGAGCATAGGCAGCTCCGCCAGGATGTCCCTTAAGCTTTTTCCTTAACGCTGGCAGGTTTCATTGAGGAGCCAGAGAGGAAATACTGCTTCGAATGCGACAGTGAGGAGCAGTGTCAGGAGTGGATTGAGGCACTCAAGCGAGCCAGGTAGGCCGAGCCACCAGCGCGAGGCCGGTGCTGTGTGCTCTGTGCTGTTTGTTTTCTGGGATCAGCTGGTGGTGAAGCCAGGGAGGGAAGCGGTCGTCTCCTCCCGAGCAAGCTTCCCTTCAGCTCTAAATAGCATCTGAAACTTCTCCATATCCTTTTCTGCTCAGCCTGCGCATGGTCTGTTCCTGTCTTACAGCTATGAGTTCATGAGGAGGAGCTTGATTTTCTACCGGAATGAGATCCAGAAAATGACAGGGAAGGTGAGTGCCTTGAATTCAGCTTGTCAGGTGGTGACTGATGGGTTTGGACTGGAGCAGGGGCTGGTGAGCTCAGGTGTTGTTGCCAACTGTCCTGCCCAAGGCTGTTTGCTGCCACGTGTAGGAGTGACATCCTGGGGTAAGCCAGTTCCTGAAGCCATGATCTCAACAGCCGCACCCGAGGGTTGTGCTCAGCTCCAGCCCTCGCACGTGCACTCTTCCAGCAGCGGAGCGGCCTGAGGTTTGTGGCTGGAGAAGTCTGGCCTGGGCGAGCCCCAAATGCCCCCAGTTTTGCAGAAGGGGTCCCAGGCAGCGCTGACCAGATCAGCACATCCAGGGCTTGAGATGCTGCTCACCCCCCTGCCAGGCTCCTCAGAGCTTCCCTGCTCGAGGCAAGGGGCCTTGGGTATCCGCTGTCCTCCCCAGGCTGTGTGACTTCCTGCACTGGAAAGTGGGACTGGGGTAAATCCAGCACACGACTGGGACCTGAGGGACAGTCCTGCTGGCCTGCCTCGCCCTTCTCTGCGTCTCACTGGTGCCCTCCCTGTGCTCTCACTGCAGGACCCCCTGGAGCAGTACGGGATCTCCGAGGAAGCTCGCTTCCAGCTGGGAACACGCAAGCAATAATCCCCTCAACTGGGCTAACTGGGTGAACTGGCCCCAGGGTCACTCCCAAGTCCCCCCCCTGGGAAGAACAGCAGCACTTCCCCAGAGCAGTGACCAAGTGACTTTAATTTATTAGCCAAATAATTTTGTATTATTTTTTTTTAAAGGGAATTCACTGCACATTCCCACTTGCCCCAGCTGTGGAGGCAGCCAGTCTTAACTGCAGGCTGCAGGGAGGGAACAGAGCTCCTGGCACCTGCCATCCTCCCTGCCTGGAGCTTTTGGGACCAGCCCTGGGCCAGCTCTAGCCCTCCTCTTCCTCCCTGTCCCTCTGCTGCAGGGAGCTACTCAGCTTTTCTGGCTCAGGATCTGCCTGCAGTCCCCAGGAGGAGCCAGGGAGGGTCGTTCATCCCCTTGCTGTAAGAGGATGCTCCAACTCATCTCATGTCTGTGCTTGCAGGGTTAACCCTGTCATGCCCTCTCCTGGTCAGAGCCTGGTGGCTCAGCTGTTGAGCGAGGAAGAGGGGGGGAAGCCTTCCCTTAATGGGGAGAGCTCAGCCACACCTCTCCCCTGACACAGTGCCTGCGCAGCCCCTAGCCACCTGCGTTTTGGGGCTGTTTTGTTCTTTTCCCTTCTCTGGGCAGGAGGTGCTAATTCCTAGAGCCTTGATGAAGGCCACGCTGCAGCCCCTTAGAGCACCCTCCCAACTGCACTGGAGAACGAGGCTGCGAAGCACCCGGGAGCGGAGACAGGGCTGAGAGATCTGTGTCACGAGCCAAGCTCCCTCTGCAGTGCTGTGGGCTGGGCTAAGCTGTGCAGTTATTCAGCTTCCCAGAGGAGAAAGCCAGATGGAGAGGTTTGTAAAGACAGGAACTGCTCCCCTTGGGCTGGACGTTGGAGCTTCGGGGCATTGCAGAGGTGAAGCCCGGGGAGCGTTTGACAGCTGGGCATTAACGCTTCATTCCCTGAGCCCTTGCTGCAGCTTTTTCTCCCATTTGTGAGTGTCCAAAGGGAGAGACCAGAAAACTGCCAAGGTCAGAGCGAGCTGCCGGGGAAGGGCTGCAGCTCCTGCAGCGAAGAGATAAGCATTGAGGAACAACATCTCCCCTTCAGCCGCAGCTCTGGCTGCACGAAGGAAAACTGCCCAGAGATGAGGGAGGGGAATACACGCTCCACGCCTGCACCCAGGGCTCCAGGAGAGCCAGTTTTCCGCCTCGGGATGCAGGTGGCTGCAGCAGCTCCCCCGGAGCCAGAGCAGGAAGGGCCCAGGTCCCGCTGGCAGAAAGTTGAGGACAGAAGGAACTCGGCTCACGGCTGGGGCAGGTAACGGCACCACAAAGGCTCAGCCTGGGATTTGGGGGCTGCAGCTCCGGGCCGGGCCCTGCCTGGCGAGCAGGGAGGGAGGTGGGGTGGAGGAGCCTGGGCTTGGCAGGAAGGTTTGGGGCTCCTCCTCTTTGGCTGGGAATTAATGCCAAAACAAGAGCCCGTAGCACAAGCTTTAGGGGCCTGGCCTTCCCTCTTTACCTCATGCTGCCGGGTACCAGGAGAGTGGCAGATGTCACTGATGCTTTATTTTAACCTCAAACCCACGGTTTTTTTCTTTCCCTCCCCAGATACTCCCTTTCCCTTCAAAGGTTCCAGGTGCTTGCTCCAGCAATTACCAAACTCAGCAGAGGGGCAGCTGTCCTGTGTAATAAGCTGAGGGCAGGGCAGGGTGGAAGCAGAAAAGGGGCCGTTCTGAACAGATGGGAGCTCTAATGGAAGCAGCAGTGAGGGATTAAAAGCAGGAACATTTGAGAGCTTGTGCTTTAGGGAATTAGTGTCCTCAGATGACTTTAATGTGCATTTCAATCCTCACAAGCCTACTCTGCTTTACCTCAGTGCAGGGGCACGTTCCTGACACACTAGTGGGGTACGCAGCGGCTTTACTTACTGTGAAAAAGAGACTGGTCTGTCTGGTCACCCAAGGGAGGACAGACGGACGCGCTGCAGGCTTGGCAGTGGGGTAACTGTTTCCTTTTCTGTGCCTGGGCTCCCCCAGCACGGCCTCAGCCCTGCCACAGCTCCGGCGTCGGGGGCACGTCGAACCCCCCTGGGGAGCCGAGCCGAGTCTGAGCATTAGCGAATCCTTTAATGTGCAAAGTCAACCCATCTATAAGCAAAACCGCCGGCAATTCTGCCAACGTTCACTCATTTCTAGCAAAGAAACTTGCAGTGCTACAGCGAGAGGCAGCGGCTCTGCCAGCCGCGCTCGGTAGTGAACAGTTGGCAACCATTTGCCTTCCAGGTCTGCCCGGAGCGTCCCCTTGCAGGGGCAGAGCTGACACCCACTGTCTTCACTGTACATAAAACGGGCATTTGATTTAGAATGTTCTCGGGAACAGTTGGGTGAGCGAGAGATAATCCCAACGCTTATTTAAGAGGCAACAATGACATTTCTTAACTGAATGTAAGAAGAACGTTGTGAAGAGTTAACCGGCCAGCCAGGCCCAGTACTGTAGGTCAAGCTGGGACACCCTTAGGTTGCAGGAGTGAGGGAGGATGATGGTACTTCCAGACACTGAGATCTGCATCAGCTGCTGGTGATTTCTAGACCACTGTTCATCTTTCACCCTCTGGTCACTGTGCTTTCTGTATTCCAGGGGCCTGTTCCTGTACAGGCCCCCTGAAAGCGTACTGAAGCCATTTCTCTGTTGTACAGCGAACATTTCTAATAAAAACATTTGTAATCTTTGTGGCTGTTCTAAGAACCCAAAACTTTCACCGGGGAGGGGCGGCTGTAGTGAGCTCAGGGTCAAGTGCAGCCCCATGGGGCCTGGGTGCCCCCACAGCTCAGGGGCAACGGGTGGCTCCACGAGGAGTTTTAGAGCTTGAGCGAAAAAAAAAAAAAGAACATGCTGAGGAAGATGAGCTGGGTGAGGCTGCTGCGACCTGCTTCCACCATCTACAAACCCCCCCAGAGCTGTGCAGCAGGGTCCTCCCTCACATTTGAAGCATCTCACCATGAATTCGCTTAGAAAGCGGCGCGGCCATCGCTTGCAGAGTTTAACTACATCGCCTGGCTGACTTCAGCGTTATTCTGCTGGTGAGATTCTCAGCTAAAAGGGTAAATTGGAAGGGGCACTAGGCTGGGCTTGCACTCGCCAGCATGCTAAACCCTGAGAGATTAAGCTCTGCCAGGGCCTAACTCAGGACACGAGAGAGACCCAGACCCTGTCCCTGCCACCAGGTAAATCCACGGGCTGGAACAGCTCCTGTCCTGCTGAAGCAGTGAAACTCCACAACAGTACGGTGTATTAAAATACATACACTTTAATATAAAGACAAAACTTCAAAGCATTGTTTCAATTACAAATCAAGGTAAAGACACAAGAAATTAAGTGGAGGAAGGGGAGAAAAAACTAACTCTTACATTGTGGAGAATTAGAAAGGCAGGGTGGAAATATATATATTATACATACATATATACACACCAGAAGAATTCACGCTACTTCTATGGAAGAATGAAAGGAATGACAGGACAACTTACCAGTATAAAAAAAAAACAAAAACAAAAAACAAACAAACCAAAAACAACCAAAACCCAAAAAAAAAAAAAAGATAAATTAGGGGAAGTTTGAATTTTAAATAATTCAGTTTAATAGGCTAAATTATATAAACTAATTCCTATTCACTAGGAAACATCCCATATCACTGTTCTAAGAAAATGGGTTTGTAAAATAATCCATTGAAAAATGGATTTTTATTAGTAGTTAAAAGTTTACTAATCAATTCCTGAGCAACAGCAACCTCATAATCTACTGCTTTCCCCATCCAAGTCCCACTCAGCGAGGGCAGGCTCTCACTCCTAAAAAGTTTAAGTAGAACAGAGACCTAAAAAGTTGGGGTTTTTTTAATTTGATCACTTAAAAGATTAATAGGTTAAAAAAGCCAAACAGGATGGATCAACCCATTCCATCTTTTCCTCGTTAACTCCAGAAACAAGACCTTTCTAAAGAATGATTCAACTGCACCAGAAAAGCAACCAGATGTACCTTGAAAAAAAAAAAGGATCACAAACTTGAGAACTTCAGGGTTAGCGTCATAACACTTTTAAATTTTAAGACATGATTTTGTTTTTAAACTATAAAACCTTAAGAAACTTCTTCAGAAAGAGGATCGCAAACAGCAAATATACCGGAGAAGTATTTCCCATTTTTTTTTTTGTCTCAGGTTTAAACCCTGAAGTTCACAATAATAGCATCTTTCATTGCAATATTCAGTCTAAATAGATATTTATATATTTATAATGCATAAGGATAAATAAAATATGGCACAACAACATTTTAAAAACTGGTAATCCATCTTTTAGTGAAAACTTGATATGCAAGCTATGGAAATGTTGAAGCAAAAAAAAAAAAAGGAGGAAAAAAAAAAATTTTAACAGCCATAAAACTTCAAATACTCGTACACTGACTACACATCTGTGCTTCCAAAAAATCCAATTCATGTGATTTTTCCTCAGTGCTGTAAAGATAGTTCACAAAAACACTGTCTAGTTTCTTCTCCCCAAACTGATTTTAAAAGACATTATTGTTGGTTCACAGTCCATTGTACAACGTCCACTCCTTAACTGAAGAAATCATCATTTAGAGGTCCCAAAGCTTAATCCTCTTTATGCTTTTGGCTCAGGCAAAACAAAAGCAGAATTTTTCAAGACAGTCACCTGTGTGAGTTGGGGATAACTCCCTCCCAGAAAAAAAAAATAAAAATTACATCCATAACCTTCAAGTTTCCATACCCTGTATTAAAAACTGATTTCAACACAGAAAGCAAATGGGTTCTACATAGGACTTGATCAACCGAAGCCACCTGCCGTGGGCACTAGGACAAATCTCCAAGTCCTAAGGAACAGCTCTTCTGTGAGCAGCACCTGTGGTCGGCACCAGCCCGCTCTGGCGAGGGACAGTGGCCCCTGGCTGAGGAAGCGTGTGCTTGTTACTAGTGCTCGGAGGTGATTAGCACCAACTCCAGACCCGGCTGAAGAAGGAAGGGCCCCGGGGAAGCCTGAGCCAGGAGGGGACTCATGATCAGCAGCTTGAAAACAAGCTCCCAGCGCTGGAAGTCTCCT